GGGAGGGGCGGGCAAGAGCTGCTTCTGTGTCCGTGTGAGCTGATGTTTACAGGTGACTTTGACGACCGTGGGGAGCGGGGGGGCGGGGGGGGCGGTACTTGTGGCGTCTGTGTTTCTGAGCTATTTAATTTTGTGTTCTGTTTCTATGAAGAACTATTTATGCATACTTCACCACATGTCTGTTCACGTTGATCCATATTGCTCTTCGGTCTTCAGCTGGGGTGCCTTGAAAGGGACTCCCCGAGGCCCCACTCGAGCAAGGAGTCGAGTGCACCCAGCTTTCACGAGGCTGAGAAGAGAACTGTCATTCTGTGGGCGTAATAAATAAAGTCAACTGTAATTTCAACATTAACTCCGTAGTGACCCTTGACCGGGACTGGACAGAGCCCTCGTCACCCTTGTATTTGAAATCACATGACAAAGGGAAGGCAGCAAATCAGTGTTATTGAAAGATTTGCGGGGGGGGGGGGAAGGGGGGCCACATTTAACCAAAGAACAAGAAAAAAAAACAGAAACTATTTTATAACGTGTACAGCTATCCCCAGGATGTGATGTTACCCACCCATGAAATGTCTAGTGAGGACCTGCATCTACAGCTCATGATTCCGGTGGGCTGGCACTAATAAACATGTGAATGCTAATCCACGTCTCCCCGTTCTTCCGTGATTTCCATCCGTTTTTGAATCTTTGAAACTGCCTCTCCTTCAAAGGGCTGTTTCTTGTAGTAAAAAAATAATAATTAAAAAAAATACCAAGATCAACAATTAGAATTACATGTAAGAAATGGAGAAACCCCAAGCTTCGGAAGAATTGCAAAGGTTCATAGCAATCCCTTTCCTAAACTATGTTTTTGTTGATTTTAAAGGGGGAGAGAGAGAAACTTCCATGATGAGAGAGAATCATGGATCGGCTGCCTCCTGCACGCCCCACACTGGGATCGAGCCCGCAACCCGGGCATGTGCACGGATGACAGGAATTGGGCCTGCAACCTCCTGGTTCATGAGACGAAGCTCAACCAACTGAGATGCACCAGGCAGGGCCAGTAACAACCCTTACCCATGATTACCCCTTGTCCCATCATGAGGCTGACACTGACAGAAAATAAAATTCCAAGACTGGCCTCTTCTCTTCTTTTCCTAGTTTCATCGAACTGTTGCTTTCACATCTCTTAGGGGTGAAAGCTGCTTTGAAACACTCCTGACTGTGCTGATAGAAAGGTATGTCCAACTCTTACGTCGTTCGCGGAGAAGGAGTATAAGAAAAGCACACTATTTTGAATATGGACGATTTAGAAGGGAAATCGAAGAGGTAGTAAGTGTTTGTAACTGGACGCGGTTGCGCCTGCGTCTCCCAAAGAACTGTCATGGGAGAAGGTATTGAGCATTTACACAAGGTCGACGGGCGGGCCTTCATCCCCAAATGGGAAATCACACTATTTTATTCCATAAGAATTAGGTTCCAAGAGCTTTCATGATCACTCACTTTATTTCAAAGAGAAAGCCCTAGACCCGTGGTCGGCAAACTGCGGCTTATGAGCCACATGCGGCTCTTTGGCCCCTTGAGTGTGGCTCTTCCACAAAATACCACGTGCGGGCGCGCACGTACAGTGCGACTGAAACTTCGTGGCCCTTGCGCAGAAGTCGGTATTTTGTGGAAGAGCCACACTCAAGGGGCCAAAGAGCCAAATGTGGCTCATGAGCCGCAGTTTGCCGACCACTGCCCAAGACGGTTTGGCTCAGGGGATAGAACGTGGGCCTGTGGACTGAAGGGTCCTGGATTTGATTCTGGTCAAGGACACATGCCCAGGTTGCGGGCTCCATCCCCAGTGGGGGATGTGCAGGAGGCAGCCGATCCATGATTCTCTCTCTCATCATTGGTGTTTCCATCTCTCCCTCTCCTTCCTCTCCCAAATCAATATATATATATATTTTTTTTTTAAGTGAGTTTATTACCCGGTCTGGCTTCTCATTTACGTAAATACAGAGGTGTTATTTGCTGCCATCTTGTGTGCATATCGGGAATAACACCTTGGTGGGCACAACTAGAAATACCTGCTTTCTGCGGGCATCTTGAGAACACCTCAGGGCAGGTCACTAGGAAACGTTTTTGTCTGCTGCCATCTAGAGCACATACCGCTGACAAACCACAGATGGAACATCTCTCATGAAGCTGTAAGCGGAACAACTACTGCGGCCATCACAGGGTCTGGAGGTACTGAATTGCTGAAGGAAAAGTATCCCAGTTAGAAAGGCACTTGTATCCTGTAACAAGGGAAAGACACAAGTGCAGGCATGACTCCCTGGCTGGGCACAATCGCAAGAGGCAGCTACTATGGCATGAGGCACCTGAATCCCCACAGGCAACTACCTAACCAGGCTCGATTGCGAGAGGCAGGCACAACAAAATGGGTCTCCCTTAAATCTGGAGGAGTTGGAAGCAGAGGCATCTAATCCAACTAGTAGAGGCCAAGGAGACCCCTGCCCAGCCCCTCCCTGTCAGATGGGCACAGGAGCCTGTCTGGGAGCCCATACCCAGCGAGGCCTCCCGTCACGTGCCCAGCACACTCTGGGTATACACAGCCCTGCTATTAGGATCTTTATTTTAATGAAACCAAGACATCATTCCCTATAATTATGACCTTTGGTTCCTGATTTGCCTTAATATGCATTTATGGTAAGAGGGAACGTGGCCCCTTGGGCAAAATTTCCATTCTGCCTTGGGGGGGGGGGGGGGGGGGGCGGAGCGGGTGTTTGGCTAAGGGGTGAGGAGAGGATGAGAGACCAATATGTATCCCCTTTCCACACACCTTTTAAGGGGGTCATGAGTCAGTGGGCAAGGAGAGACCTGCCGGCACAGTCTCCCTCCCTCCTTCAGGAATTCTGAATTTTTTTTTTTATTTTACAGAGAGGAAGGGAGAGAGATAGAGAGTTAGAAACATCGATGAGAGAGAAACATCGATCAGCTGCCTCCTGCACATCTACTGGGGATGTGCCCGCAACCCAGGTACATGCCCTTGACCGGAATGGAACCTGGGACCTTTCAGTCCGCAGGCCGACGCTCTATCCACTGAGCCAAACCGGTTTCGGCAGGAATTCTGTATCAGTGCTCTCTCCAGCTGTGTGGTTACAGCGGTTGCCTGGCAAAAGGAGAAAGATCTGGAGCTGAATTTCCCATCCCTGCTTTCGCCAGGATGTGATGGGAAGGAGGACATGAGAGCCAGAGGAGACCTTGAGATGAACTACGTGTCCCGGCTCCAGCCCTGCATCTAATGGGCAGCTGGCGCCTGCGGAAACGGGCGAGGAGAGACCTGGATGCCATCTCTCCACCTGGTGCTGGCAGTGTGGGGGGTAGAGGGGGTCCCTGAGATAAGGGTGGAGTTCCCGGGAGTGTCTGAGAACCAGAGGGGATGCCTGGGGTGGGGTGCACTCGGCCAGCTGGAGTCTGTGGGCACCTTCTCCAGCTGTTTTCAAGCCAGCGCTTCCCCAGGGCCAGTCTCCTGGGGAGTGTCCTACTGGTTCCAGTTGGATCCCTTCTCTTTTTTTTTAATATATATTGTATTGATTTCCTACAGAGAGAAAGGAGAGGGATAGAGAGTTAGAAACATCAATGAGAGAGAAACATCGATCAGCTGCCTCCTGCACACCCCCAACTGGGGATGTGTCCGCAACCAAGATACATGCCCTTGACCGGAATCGAACCCGGGATCCTTCAGTCCGCAGGCCGACGCTCTATCCACTGAGCCACACCGGTTAGGGCTGGACCCCTTCTTGCGATCACCTCCTCCGGACAGGATTCAGGAGTGCACTACTTGCAAATACACACATTTTTTTAAAAAATATATGTTTTTATTGATTTTTAGGGAGAGAGGGATAGAGAGGTAGGCACATCAAAGAGAGAGAAACATTGATCAGCTGCTCTACAGCCTC